TGGCATCAACCCGGGTTATGTATCACTCCATCATGGAGTGGGTTAAGATTTCTAATTTTTTGTACTGACCCGGAGCAAAATATTTTATTATAACTGGGTTACTATATAATTTTGCTCTGGGTTGCTCCAGATTGCTCTAAATTATTTTAGTAATTTGATTATTAATCAATTAATAGAATAATAATTTGTTAATTTTGATTTCTTTGTTTGTGAATTTTATTATGAATAAAAAACAGAAAATTTATGAAAATTTATATGAAATACTTCAGATAGTGAGCCTAAACCATAAGTTGAATCATTATTAAATATAAATAGAGAAGAAAGTGAGATTGATTTGATTTTTAGTCAAGAAGATAATGAAAGTTTAATTACTACTCCTACAACTATAACTACTACAAGTACAGCTACTACAAGTACAGTTACTACAAGTACAACTAATACTATACAAGAAAATGAATCTAATTTATCAAACACTTCATGTGAAACTTCTTGGGTTTGGGAATTTTTTTCAAAAGAATATTATGATAGACAAGAAATTATTACATATATTTGTATAGTATGTAAAAATTGGTATAATTTTTTTTTTACTTTTCTTTAAATGAGAATTATAATTATAATTATTACTCCATGAAGCAACCTGGAGTAACCTGGAGTAACTCAGAGCAACCCATGTGGTATTAACCCAGTACATTTAACCCAGGTTGGGTTAGGTTAACCCTTGCTCCACTATAATATGAACCCAACCCAACCCATTATGTTCCATAAACAACCTTATTTAATAAGCAATGACAATGCATAAAATTCAATATGTGGGGTGTGGATGTTAACCAAATTTGATAATTATTTTTCCGAATCTGCAATGGTTAGCACAGCACATTTCACACACTGAATCCTATACATTAGGATTGATTGGCAAATTGGATCTTTTGGATTAATAACATCAGGAAATTTTCCCCACTGTAATATTATGTCCATAAATTTTAATATGTAAAGTTGTAATATTTGCATAAAAAATTATGTAATATTTATACTCAATGTAATAATTGCATAATTTTTATATGATTTTTGCATAATATTACAGGGCCCACTTAAGGATACCAGCTGCAACTTTTGATGATGGTTGCTACCATCTTTGCGTCATATAAAAACGATTGCAACCACTGGTTGCAACCATTTTGTTTCCTTTTTTGGATTGCGACATGGAACACTAAACGTTACACTATGATTATGTGTGCACATAATGAATTAATTAAAATTTAAATTTGCTATACATATGCAATTATAAGTAATTTTTATGTAGGAATTAAATTTATAAAAACTTAAACAAGAATAAGATTCAACAAAACTTTCCCTCCAGCACTATCAAAATAATAATAGAGAAATGAATTTCATTCAATTGTGAAAACACATTTTAGATACTGATGAAAATTTTCCTTTAATAATCCAAATATATTGTTATTGTTAGAATGACACTTCTTATACCTCTTTCTAATGCTCATGTAGAAAGAATATTCTCTCAAACAAAGTTAATTAAAAACAAATTGAAAAAAAAATGCTTTTAGATACATTAGATGCTCATCTAATGATTTTATTAAATGGATCAAAATTCTGATTTTTTTAAAAGCACTAAAACATTGGGGGAGTAAAAGCAAAAAAAACATTTTGTTTTTTTTTGTTTTGTATATGGGGAATGCTGCAACAAACCAGGTAAAGTGAACATTGGTATTGCCAATGATTAATAATGTTTGTTTTTAACATCACAAATTATAATTTAACAGGTTAAATTAAGAGGAGTACTAGATTTCAGAGATCTAAGTTGGTATTTAATACTAAATTGGATATTAATTAATATGCATTTTCCTGTATAATATGTATAATGATATATGCAACCGTTACTATAGATTTAATGACATTGCTTTAAAATCTTTATGATTTAAAGATAATTTGTTGACTTATTAAAATGTAAAATTTTTTAGCAAAGTAATTTATTTTATCTTTAAAGATGTTAAATACTATATGTATATCAATTGATATAATAATCAATCTATTTAGCAATCAAATTTTCTAAACAATACAAATCATGCTTTTTCTTCATAATTGCACCATCCTTAATACCCTCTACCTGGTTAAATTTTGAGTTCAAGAAAAATGGATAATGTTCTGTTTCAGTCCAGTTAAAATTTATCAAATAAGTCTTATATGCAATCAATGGATCACGAAATTTCAAATACAAACATTCCTAAATCATTTATTTATAGTTATCCAGATCAACTGTCCAGTCAATCAAAATCTGAATTAGTAAATTCTTATAATGAGCCCAATATCTATTCTAAAAAGAATGATTTACATGTACAGGGTGATAATGATGATGATAAAGAATTAGATAGATCAGTTGATATTGATTTAAATCTTATAACAAACTTACTAGAGAGTTTCAAAGCCCAAGAAGGCTTGCCTGGTCCTGGTGGAACTATTTTTGGAAAATTAGGGGTTGGTGCAATTCCATTAGATAAAGAAGAGGAAGAAGAAAAAGATGATGATGATGTGAAAGTGAAGAATAAATAAATAAATAATATTTACATCTTAATCTTCAATTTATTTTTATTGGCCAAATGTTTTATTATAGTTGCATTTGAAAAATGATTTTTGTTATTTAAAAATAGTCTGACAAATCTGCACCTCATATAAATCTCTAGATTTACTTAAAGTAGTGTTTTATTTAGCTTATACAATTGTGGCTGAGTGTCTCCTTGATAGTTTAATTCTCAATTGCGATTGCTTTTCTTTTGTATATGATATTAATAGTGCTGGGTCTATTAATCTGTGTGGGGGCAAGTTTTACTTCCCCATCCAGTAACATTTTCTCAGCAGTTCTTTGTTATCTGCATTGAAAATTTTGGTGGATGAAGTTTATGGGTTTTCTTTCTTCTTGGTAAATTTCATAGATAATCCTTCATTCCTTAGATAAACTTCCAATGTCTGAGTATCATTTATTTTGAAAATATAAGGAGCAATCTTTTCTCCTTGTTTTTTCTTCAAAATATGCTTAATTCTTGGGCTCTGTGGTAGATTTGAAGTAAATGAGTTTCATATTAATCAAGGAGTAATTAGTGTTGAAAAATTCAGTGTAACGTTACTAAGGATACCGGCTGCAACTTTTGATGATGGTTGCTACCATCTTTGCGTCATATAAAAACGATTGCAACCACTG